AGTGATGCCTATTTTCCTAGCTCGGTTCCAAGTGAGGAGCTTGTACTCTTAGACAAAAGTAACATTATTACCATCATAAATTATTCTTTTAAACTCCCTACGAGCCACCTTATATTTTTCTCAATTTTCTAAGCTTTTACATTTACCAATTTTTATGGCACAACTTCTCATATTTTATCTTCCATTGCACAATAATAATTCAATACCAACAATTTTTATTTATAATTTTTTTTTCTTTCGATTCTCGAGTATATATTTTATCACTTGTTTAATAGTGTTAGTTACTTTATCCCACATAAAATTAGCTTCTTTATGAACATCCAAAATCTTGAAGTTTATTCATAAAAAAAATTTATTTATGCCTTTTAAGTGTCTCATCTAATTATATGATCATATTTCACTATATTTTTTATCTTCCAACTCATCTTAAAATCCAGAACTACTGATTGATGTTGAGTACTTAAATTTTCACTAGGAATAACCTTACAATCTTCACATTCCCTACAATGTCTTTTTCTCATTAGAAAATAATCAAGTAATGTTTTATTCTCGATTCTTATAAGTAATAATATGCTAATCTCTTTTCTTAAATAAGATATTAGCGATAACAAAATCATAAGTGTATATAATCTAATTCTACTTTTTTCATTAATCACTCCAAAACTGTAGCTACCATGAATGTTTCTAAAATCATGGACCACTCTACCAACATGCCTATTTAAATCTTCTCCAATAAAAATTCCTTCTTTAAGAAATATCATTTTAATTAATTCTTCTAGATCATTTCAACCTTTTTTCTTTTGAAATTATATTTAAACCTATTTAAGGAGCATAAGCACTTATAATATTAAAAATTTAGTATAAACAATAATCCTTAGAGCTATAATTCTATCTTCAATTCTATTAATTTTTACAATATTATATTTCAAACTCTTTTCTAGTTTCACTATATATTAGTTTCTAGTTACACCTACACTATATCTAGTTTCACTCTTGCCTGAATACTAAAGTTTAAAACCTAAGCTATCAATCTCCTTAGACTTTTCTCCAACCAATTTAGTTTCTTGAATGCATGAGATATTTATCTTCCTATGAACCATGATATCTAATAATTTCATTAATTTATATGTGAGAGTACATATATTCCAAGATCTTATCATATATTAATATTAGTTTTATGAACTAACTTCTTTGCCCGCTTTCGTCTATAATGTGTGAACCCTTATTTATTAGACGCTACACATGGGCACAAATGTTGCGGCCATTGCACACTTTTCACTGTATTCAGGTCATACAGTGTGTTGCATTCAGAGGACACCCTAGCATTTACATAATGATTTAAAAGAAATAATTTTGATCTCATTCATCTATAATTGTTAGTAATAAGGTGCTGGAATATAACGCTTTCAGCTAAAAGTTATATAAACTTCAAAAGCCTTGAAATTTTGTAATATGGGCTACCAACATTACAGTTTTAATAGAGAAGAGAGAAAAATAATTGAATTCAATAATTTTTCAATATGGGCTACCAACATTAAAGTTTTAATAGAGAAGAGAGAAAAATAGTAAGAGAGAGAGCTAGAAATGAACGTGCTTTAAATGAGCTCTACCTTCATTTTATCGTCATATGAATAAAAAGAATTGAATTCAAAAGAATGCAATGGTATTCTCACAAATCTTCAATATTACTTGAGTGAAAAATGTCAATATATATTGTTAATTTGCATTTCAAAATCAATACTTTTACTACTAGTTTATATAATATTAAAAAAATAATTGTTTTCATAGATCAATATAATCCTACAATAGTTCTTTTTTATAAAATGGTGATATCAAAGAGCACAACTATAAGTTAGTAATCATATATTAGGAAGAATTGGTCTTTTATTTCAGTTCATATTAGATTGACATTGCAAGTTGGACTTATATTTTAAATATTTTTTTCAAGTACAGAATATATAGGACTTGATGATAACCCAACTGAAGTGTAGAAATATATAGGAGATTTGGGAGTTTCTTGGCTTACTAAACTCTTTAATATTATTTTAAATGCTAAAAAGAAGCCTAAAGAAGAGTATTTTGATTCTCAGTTTTAAGAATAAAGGGGATGCACATGAGTGTGCAAATTATAGAGGAATTAAGTTGATGTGCCATACTTTAAAATTATGAGAAATTGAACATAGGATAAGATGTATTACAAAGATTTCTCGTAATCAATTTAGATTTATATAGGGCGGGTCTACCATGGTAGTTATACATTTATTGGAGGTTTGATGGAGAAATTCAAAGAGAATGAGGATCGACATTTGATTTTTATTGCTTTAGAAAAAGCATATGATAATGTTTCAATAGATATCCTTTAGAGTTTTATAGAAGAAAGGTGTTGATATGACTTAGGCACTGTTTGGGGCCGCGTATTTCACACGGTGCGGCCCCAAACCGCGAAGCTGAGAAAAAAAAATTTCATTTGCATGCTGCGTTCGTGGTCGTCGGTTGCTAAAATAGGCGGAACGCGGGCCGCAGGATCGACCACGCTGCCCCGTGTTCGCGATCGGCTTTGACCTCTTTGCTCCGTGCTCCCTCGCAAAGCCCTCAAATCCGGCATGCCCCTCGAAGCCTGCACTCGCTCGACACCGACCCGCCCGCTGCTCGATTTGGGGACGCGATGTAGAAGAAGCTTACGACACAGAAAAGAATGTTTGATGGGAGAGAACCAACGATCAAGCTATTTGGGAGGAAGATATCGCTGATGGAAGAAGGTGGCGTAGTCGACTCGGAGGAGGAGAAGGTGAAGTTCGAAGGCTATGGGTTTCAGTGAAACCAGTAGAAGGGGAAGGACATAGGCGAGGGCTTCGGCCAGAAAAAGGGAAGTGACGGGGGATGCAAGTGAGGGCTTTTTATTGTGATATTATTTTAACTTTATTTAAGTTAAATCTTATTAATTTAAATCTTATTAAATCTTATTAATTTAATTGATTTTAAACTAACAATTAATTAATAGATTATCAGATTAATTATAATTAGATAAATTTAAAAATATTTATTTAATAGTGAATTAATAAAAAGAATATATATAAAACTTTCAATTTTTAGTAGAAGAAGGTTTACATGCATATCAGTGAAAACTCCTGCTATTATATATTTAACATCTAAAAATATAATATTACCACTATAGCACGCTGAAATTGTTGTTAAATGTGTATACCGCTTCGGCACTGTCCTCCATGATGTTCGTTCCATCCCTTGACGAAAAGCTAGAAAAAACTTCCTAGGACTTCCTCTGGTTGAAATCTTCTAAACTATCAAATATGTGATGTTCACAGTTCTGTATTAAACAACTTTACTAAACAGGGGCAGAATGATCATTTTTTTCAGAAACAGCTGCCCCACAACTGTTTTCATACAGCCGCAACAAACAAACAATCAGCTTCCCTGCAGCAGCTTTCTGAGGCAACGCAGCTGCAGCTAAAAAGTTGAGAAGTGCAACCGCACCAAACAGACCCGTATATTCAACTCATTAAAGATATGTATACTACAGTTGTTAATTGTGTTCGAACAAAAGAAGGATTGGCCAAATATTTTCTTATTTCAGTTAGATTACATCAGGGATCGATTTTAAGCCCATATCTTTTTGCTTTAGTTTTAGATGTTCTTACTGGACATTTACAGGAAGATGTACCTTGGTGTATGCTTTTCCCTGATGATATCCTTCTCCCTGATGGTATGCTTTTCCCTGATGATATCCTTCTCATGGATAAGACTAGAGAAAAAGCTCAGAAAAAACTTGAATTATGGAGATTTACATTAGAGTTTAAGGCTTTCGTTTGAGTAGATCTAAAACTGAATACGTAGAATGTAATTTTAGTAGTAGTAGACCTAGTGGCAAAGTTGTAATTATTGATGATAATCATTAAAATGTGTGAACATTTTAGATATCTCTGGTGTATTGTTCAAAGTGATGGTGATATAGTTGGGGAAGTTATTAGTAGAATTCAAGTTGGTTGATTGAAGTGGAGGAAAGCTTCGGGCCTATTGTGTGATAGAAAAGTACCGCTTAGACTGAAAGAAAAATTTTATAGAAATTTTATAAGATGGTGCTGAGACACTCAATACTTTATGGCGTTGAATGTTGGTCTTTAAAAGAGAAGCATAAAACTAAGTTAAGTGTTGCCGAGATGAGAATGCTTAGGTGGATGACTGGCTTTACACTGGCTTTAATGACTGGCTTTACAGTTAGAGACAAAATGTGAAATTAATATAAGGTTGGTGTAGATCCAGTAGCGGACAAAAGTAGAGTGAATCGTCTTAAATGGTTTGATCACATTAAACGTCGACCATCTGATGATCTGATTAAGAGAATAGATGATTTAAATTCGACTTATGTTAAGAAAGACAGAGGTAGATCTAGAAATACTTGAGCATATTGTATAAAAAATGATCTTAATTTAATAGAATTAAATAAAAATATGACACTCAATAGGACGTAATGGAGAAAAAGGATTCATGCAGCCGAGCCCGCCAAGTGGGATAAAGGTTTGTTGTTGTTGTTGTTGTTATTATAGTACAAAATATTTAAATAATCACATTACATCCAAAATAAATGTGGAAAGGAAAAAAAATGAAGAGATGAAAATATCCAGGATATGCATGATGGAGGGATCCATATTATAAATAAATGTGGAAAGGAAAAAAAATTCCAATGGAAATAGAGTCAATTCAAAGATTAAGAAAAAATCTATATCAATTATACTGGTTGTAATATTTTTAATCCATATCAGGCAGCTTGATATACTCTATTTCCAGATAAAATAATTCTCATAAATCGTACAAGTTTAAAGGCAAAAAGAAAATTTAAAAAAACAAAGGAAATACTTGAGAAGTAAATAGATTATTTTTTCAGTATATAGCTTTATCGAATTTGCATTAATAATTAGTCTACAAGTATGAGTTAAATGTCATAGGTTTGAATATCTTCTATATAAAACAGATAAGGCTAACACCTTTTGTATTTGAAAGATGATCAAACAAACGTCCAGGAGTCGATATCTGCATCAGTGATAAAAAACAATAAAAAATGTTAAAAACTGAATTTAAATGAAACAAAGATAGAGCTAACTTTTGCAGAAGCAAAGAGAACCATTAAACCAACACAGTTAGCAAATTCACATCGAAAAGTATACAAGTTTTGCTTCAGCTAAATATTACAATACTCTACAAATAACATGTTTTCAGCTACGGCCATTAAGATAGCAATATGAAAAATGCAACTTTTAAGGTAGCAGGGAGTTGTAGATAAGAAATAAATGTATAATTAAATCGCAATGATAATCAATAAAATTCAAGCACCAAGAGAATTGGCTTATGAGAATTGAGAAGAATTTTCTGTAAAAGAAAGATGAAAATATCCAGGATATGCATGATGGAGAGATCTATATTATAAATATATGTGGAAAGGAAAAACAATTCCAGTAGAAAAAGAGTCAATTCAAAGATTAAGAATAAATCTATATCAATTATACTGGTTGTGATATTCTTAATCCATATCAGGCATCTTCACATATTCTATTTCCAGATAAAATAATTCTCATAAATCGTACAATATTAAAGGCAAAATGGAAATTTTAAAAAACAGAGGAAATAATTAAAAAAGTAAATGGGCTCAGAATTAGTAAAATAGATTATTTTTTCAGTATATAGCTTTATCGAATTTGCATTAATAATTAGTCTGCAAGTATAAAACTTATATCTTAAATGTCATAGGACTGAATATCATGGGTTCAATATTCAAGATGATGTGGGTACAAAAGAGGATAGAAGTGGGTTCAATATTCAATTATACTGGTTGTGATATTCTTAATCCATACCAGGCATCTTGACATATTCTATTTCCAGATAAAATAATCCTCATAAATCGTACAATATTAAAGGCAAAATGAAAATTTTAAAAAACAGAGGAAATAATCAACAAAGTAAATGGGCTCAGAATTTGTAAAATGGATAAATTTTTTCAGTATATAGCTTTATCGAATTTGCATTAATAATTAGTCTGCAAGTATAAAACTTATATGTTAAATGTCATAGGACTGAATATGATGGGTTCATTATTCAAGATGATGCGGGTACAAAAGAGGATAGAAGTAATCAAAAAATTGTTGGGAGATTAAAATGGAGAGTTGCCTCTATGGTGTCAAATTAAAAAACAATATACGAAGGTTTCAAAGAAAAATTCATAAATTAGAAAAGATTAATGAACAAGCTAAGAGTATCAAAGATAGGAATATTAAAATATGTTTTCCATAAAGCTACAAAGGTGGGAATGACACTAATGTCGATAAGAATAAAGCGAACTCAATGCTTCAAATGACACGAAAAACAACGATAACAAAAAAGCAATGCTTCAAATAGATTATTTTTTCAATATATAACGTTATCGAGTTTGCATTAATAAATAGACTGCAAGTATAAAACTTATATGTTAAATGTCTAACATCTACACTTTCAATTTCTATTAGTCTGCAAGTATTAGAAAATAGTCAGAGAAAATTTTCCAAATTTCAAAATTCCCAAATTCAGCTCCAACAAATCAAATCGGAGAAACTCCCAAAGCCGTAAAAAAATTCAGCTTCAAGAAAACTATAAAAAAAAAACTTCCAAAGCCTTAAAAAAAATTCAGCTCCTCATTTTAACTAAGTATCAGATTAAAACTTTCATATTTCAGGTAGTATATACATATCCAAAGTAAGGAAATGAATAGAATGCCAACATTAATATCCAAGATAACTTTTAGCATACTTAAAATATATTATTTTTTTTCAAATCCATTTTTCCTAACAAGCAGGGAGAAGAAGAGAAAACTTTTACTCAGTTATGTATACTTATGTAATCAATATTTTATCCTCGATAGGTCTGGCATATGCTACAGAACACATTGAAGTTTTAGTTGTTATATATGTAAATACATATAAATTGAGTGGTATGTATGTACACATCCTCATAAATTGCCGCAAGGGCTAAAGTAATTAGAACTGAGATATTTACATATGTATCACTCAATTCCTATACATTTACATGCCTAACATCTACACTTTCAAATTCTTCTTACATACATGCCACCACACATATTTTTAAGCCAAGGAAGAACAATAAAGGAGGGTAAAAACAATAATATATGCATCTAAACTTCTCTATTACTGTAATGGCTAAAATGCAGGATAACCATGACTTGTAATAGTTTATCCAAGCATTTTCAAGGAGACTGAAATATTTCAACAAATTCTGAATAAGTTCCTTGTAATATTCCATTAGTAGGATGTAAGCATCAATAATATGATTCGCATAGTAATATCAAGCTTTTCTTTTTAATTTCAACAGTAGTCAAGAAAATATTTCAATAAGCATGCTATTAACAGGAACTCATTTCTTCTTCATAGAAAGAACCAGTGGAAGGTATATTCCAATAATTCACAAGAAGATAAAGTAAAGAACTATGAACCCTTCAATTTATAATAAAGAATCTCATCTCTAATTTTGATTACCAAAAAAAAAGTAAAAGAACTTCAGCATGAAATCGAACATCATATTAGACAACTAAAGAAGAGAGGAAAGAGAGAAGTCCTTACTTTCAGAACATATTGATCTCAGAAGAAGTTACAGACCGAAAAAAAAAATTCAAATCGATGAAGAAGTTGCCAGCTCAACGGTATTGAAAAATAACATTATATACTCACATTAAAATATTTGAACCTCTGTCTATGTTTAGATTATCACTTACTAACGAGGATTCAACGCAATAAGGGTGATCATCGTCGTATAAACATTGAATTCCTTCCCTTTTATAGTGCCGAAACCAAATATTACCAAGAAAAACACAGCGGAAATTAAGAAATGTGTAGAAGCATTTCCAACATGATTCATTAAGTTCGATTTTATGAATTAATTTACTTCTATGTTTCGTCACACTAGAGAGATTGAACCATGATCTAACATTTTACCAAAAAGAAGTAAACATAAAGGAATTATTACAATCAATCAAGATCTACAAGGTGAATGAAGATTTTTTATCAACCCTTCTTAGTATACATATATAGATTTGAATAATAAAACAATGAAGAGATCTTTCACTTCCAAATATTTATTAAATCAAGAACTTTAGAAAGTCAAGAAAGAGAAGAAATCTTGAGACGGGGATTCAAAGAGGGACAATATTTCCATAAACTTAGATGTGAAAGGGATCTATCTATCCCAAGTATAACATAACAAATAAAACGTCTCGTGAATTTTTATGAAATAAAACTCACATATCCATTGACGTTAAATCAAATCGGGTATAATAAATCCTTGCTTATAATAATCCAACTTTCAACCACTAAGAGTACGATAATCCAGTATACATGCCACTTACTCATTATAATATCACCCTCTTTCTTTTATAAAATGATCAGACCGAAAAGACAAGATGAACAATCTGATTCATATTTCAACCAAATCCGTCATCGCATAATTTGAATCTATCATACCCAACAAAGTGCAGTGAAATTTTAAGAATAACAAGTGAAAAAAAGAAAATCAAATTCCCCCAATATCAAAGAAACTTAGCTGGGAAATATCTTTTCCCAATTCATGAATACCAAGACAGATGTAATGAAAATCTTTATAATTAGGTTAAAGTAGAAGAGAAAAGAACTTGCTCAAATGAAATATTTCATTAGTCAGAGAAGAAAAGAGAGGCAACTTTACCTCCAAATGCCAGTTAAAGCAAGAATTAAATAAATCGAAATCTTTAAGACAGGGATTCAGAGGGAAGTGAACTCTCGTCAAAACAACAACCCTTCAACCGCTCCCCTCGGGGGTATTTATAGCCGGAGAGGAAGACCGGCAGGTGAGGGGAACGCCGCGATGGGCAAGAAATCGATCAAAATAAACAAGAAGGACCTCATGCACTTGGGCGGGAAAATCGGTTACAAAACATGTTACCGGGAGTTATCACCGACAGCAAGGCTAAGGAAGAAGAAGAGTGACCGGAGAACCCGCTAAGGAAGGTTCGAGAACGAGGGTTTCGGACCCCGCAAGCGGAATCGGCCGTGAGTTATATTTTATTATCATTTTTTTTTAGAAATTCCTTTTTTTTAATATATATATATATATAGACACCTACCCTCCTTTTGTATTTATTTGTGGACAATTCAATCTTGATTTGAAACCCTATCAACATATATGTCGTTCTCGGCTAAGATCGACGTCTCGGACAAACCGGCACGGTCCGTTTTGTCATTCAGAGTCGTCCGAACAAGTTCGTCGATGATCGTATCAATTTAAATCTGATTTGCACCACGTGGCAAATGAAGTTATTTTGGTCCGATCAGAGTCGTTTATCGAGCAAATTGTTGACCGCTCCTTCCCTAAGCAACAACCAAAGTCAAGCATGTTGCTCGCAGTAGCAAGTCAATCGTCGCACATCGTGGGGTCCCCTTATGACTTTCAAATTCCTATAGGAACTCAACATGAGCTTCAAGGCGTCGACTTTAATCAACTCAATTGGATGCTAAGGATTTAGAATCGTTCATATGAAACTTCAAGGAGCGAAGAAATGACTTGAATTTTTAAATATGTAGGTCCTATTACAGTCCTCTATGAGAGTCAAAGTAGCAAAATCATAGGGCTAGATTATAGGCTCTAAGGAGAGGGGAAAGAAAGACCTCAATATTGAGGTCAACAGTCTCTTATTTTCCTACCAGGATTCCATGATGGTTTACTTGGTGAAGGAACTGATGAATTGTTGCGCAAAGCTGGGAGGAAAAATGGTAAGCCAACTATTATTATTCCTAAAGAAGTGACTTTGAAGCTTGTTGAACCACAAAAATTCACATTGATTGGTAAATTCCGAATGAATCACCCTAAAATAGAGACAATGAGAAGGTATTATGCGGGTTTGAAATTATTGGGAAGTTGGAAGGTAGGACTGTTTGATGGGAGAAATATCATAACACAATTAGAAAGAAATAACTATTCAAGGATTTTTTCCAGGAAAGTTTTCCATATTAAAAATTTATATATGAAGATCTTAAAGTGGTCTACAGACTTTGATCCCAATTCAGAACCTCCTATTGTGTCGATTTGGTTTAAATTCGAAAGTTTAAAGTTGCGTTCGTTCAACCAAAAAATCCTTTTTTTCAAATGTTACAAATTTTAGGAGACCTATGAAATTGGACTACTCCACTTATTATCTAAGTAGGTCATCTGACCCGACACGCAATTACGGAGTTATTTAAATTCCAAAATATGCCAAAAAACTTGACCCAATTTATCTTAGCGGCTAGTTTGCAAAATAGATATGTTATAGAGTTTAAAATTTTGTTTGATTGTTTACACACTAAGGCTATTACGCAAGTATACATATCATTTCAAGTAATATATTTTTTTCTTTAAAACCCCAATATCGACCACATAGGGAAGACAGAACTTTTTATACTTGACTTAGAAAAACTTCTACTTAAACTGTGAACATAATACTTAGAAAAATAATGTCGAAGTGTTTGTAAAAGATTTAAAGCTAATATTAACGAATTCTATCTTAAGACTAAAATGTAAATGTAGTTTTTCTAAACTAATTTTATGTAAAGGTGTTTGAATTATGTTAAAGATCTTTTCTCTTGCAAAGAGATCATAATCAGTGTAAGAATCAACTGTTTAAAAGTCAAATGTAGTTTTGTGTCAAATAGGAGCATACATATTTTTTCCCCTCTTCTGAGTGCATAAAAAATGTTGGCTAACCTATAGTTAAGTTCCTAAATCTTTGGTTATGTTGGGTAGGTTCTAGCCTGTCAATTTCAGAATACCCACTAAATCCATGTCGGCCCTATTTTGATTTGGGAGTTGCCCGTAAGAAGCTGTCGGTCACCGGAATCGAAATTTCGTTGCCCGCTTCAGAAGGACGTTTAAGTTTAGAGAAATATGAAATCAAACTGACCTCATATTTTTTATAGTTTAAATAAAAGAGCACTATACCTCAAATCTTGTATATATCCCAAAGGATAAACACAAGACTTG